AATTGGCTCTATAATGAGACCAATAGATGCACAAAGAGAGTCGGTGGGTCCTTTGCGTCCAATATTTGCACTATGGTGGCRACTTTGTTGGCGGTGGTCAAAGAAAGCGGTTGAAAAAGAGGGTGCGACCTAATAGGCCGCACAAAATCGGGGCCCACTATCACAAGGCGATGGGCCCGCCCAACTTTCCCTCTCCCAGCCTTTTATACAGATAAGCAAATAATTGATTAATTAAAATAAATAAAATGCTACATATAATCAGTTTGATATGGACATATATGTGTGTGGTATAGCCATATTTCATGCCGTCTGCCTAGGATTTGTCAAGTGGCCAAATTTAGGATAAGTTAAAAAAAAGTATAAGATAATATAATGGACGATGCAAGTTGAATTTAATAGCAGAATTGAATAGTTTTTATCAAACAAAAAAATAATAATATATATATATATATAATATAAGAGTTGAATAGTACTCAATGCGCGTAAAAGAATAATAAATAAATAAGAAAAAAAAAAGAGAACTTTGGTGGATCCTCCAATAATTTATAAACTATTGAAAGAATTGAAAAGTTCGAGTCATATAAAATTTTGTTTTTACCGAAGCAACTTTGACACATAAGTTAACGACAAAACAAGGAAAGAAACATACATAAACAATATTTGGGGTGAGATTCATCCTCTATTSAAAATTTATGCCTTAATTAGTTGAGTTGTTTTTATGCGTTCGGTCTTTTTAAAATATTAGAAGATTACAAATCTTTTATTAAAAAGTTTTATAGTAAAGTGATGTGAAACAAAARGGTCTTGATAGCTAATATAGTAATTAATTGCATAATTTGGAATTTGAATTTTTTCATGATTATTAAAATATTTGCTAGATAAGATGTGTGTTATCTAACCTAACAAGTATGATAAAGATGAAATTATTACATTAAAAATTGGAAGAAAAATTATGTTTGTAAGGAACAATAAAGTGCTATTTAAAAAAGTCAAAAATACTTTAAAATACTTTGAGACCATGTACTTGTAAAATACTTTTTGACTTTAATGCTTTATTTGACATTTAAAATTCGACATAAATGACTTTTCACTCTAGGATTTYAAAGGATGAAATGATTTCAAATTCTTAATCGTATTTAGAATCAAGTGAATTTCAAATAATTGAAATTGAAATTTATTGTTTAGATGTTCAATGGAAAAAAAGTATAATATTTTATTGTTATATCCTTATAATTTTGCATGATATTGTATAAATAATAATATAATATTTTAACGTGAAAGAATAATATCAACCTCATAAATTAAAACTTTCAAATGAAATTTAAAAGGAAAAAACAAAAACAAAATAACTTGTAAATGTCTCCCTCAAAATATATATATTTTTTTAAAACTTTAAAGTCAAATTATTTTAAATCTAAACTAAAATAATCAATACTTTTATTATAACTTAAAAAAACTTAAAACCATAACTTAATCTCCCTTCATCAAACTTTCCCATATTTTTTTCTATTTTTTTTTTTATGACAGTGCCCCTGCTTCCCTTTTTTTTTTCAAAGCAGTACTTCCATCGTTAAAAAATAAAAGTAAAAAATAAAAACAAAAACAAAGTGGTTAAAAAGATCAGAGATTTTAAGTGTATCGAACTACCAATCTATTTATAAACTCATTTGAAACGACTTTTTCTTACCCAAATTAGTGCCATAAAAACTGTAATAAAAAGAAAAGAAAATTGATGGAAGACATACCGAGCAAAATAGAAAATCAATTTGTATTTTGATTGAATGTTTATAAAAATATATATATATATATATATATATGAGGCAAAAGAGAAAACCAACTATGACAATTATTTGTCTAAAAATGAAAATAAAATATCTATTTTTTTCCATATAAAATAGGTAAATTTGAAATTTGTTCCCTGTTATATTTAAATTCTTCCAAATCGGACGTATTTAGAAAGGAAATTTTTCCTAATAAAACGTGATTTGAAATCCTTTTTTTTTTTCCAGAAACCAAACTGCATAAATGATTTTAAAATTTTGCAAATATTTGCAAATCAAGAGTCCCAAATATATGGTAAAAGATAAAAAGTGGAAAAAAAAAACATATCATCAAATAAGACTTAATTTAATCTATTATTGGACACGTTGAAACTTTCTTTGATTGGGAAATGAATGAAAACTTTGGTATAAGGACGAAAATATAAAATAAATGAAAAATCAAAATCAATTTGACGTGGACACTTATGTAGGTCGTAATGGCATATTTCATGCTGTTACTCATAGATTTGATAGCATTTATTTATATCTCATTTTYGTCAATGAGCCCAAATTAATGTCAACCTTAGGTTCTTTTTACTTATCAGGAATCGAAACGTAGATAAATCGGAATGAAAATAAATTGGAATTATATATATATATAGTACGTAGTGTTGTATTTTTTTAGAGCTTAATCAATTTTTATAGTAGATCTCTATTTTGCAACCCACTTAAATCAATTAAATATGAGTTTTTTCTTTTCTTTTTTAGCCTTACAAAAGTGGGGGGCTACAAAATTTGATTTTGAACTTTTATGATTTGACACGCAATCATATTATATAGTTTTTATTACAATTATGCAATGCTCACATAGAATCTTCCTCATTTTGATCCTTTTCTATGTTGAATTAGATCCCAAAAATATGGATATCATCGCCAGTTTTGAAAGTGGACAAATTCAAATCATAAATAATAATTTAAAAATGTTAAAATTAACAAATCAATGTAGTTTAAAATTTGTAATAATTTAATATCTATCGTAAAAGATGTTGTTAAGAATAGTAATAGAGTTTTTTCTAAACCGTTACATAATAAAAATCAACACTTAAATTTGACGACCAAAGTRAACATAGCTCAGCGTTAATTAACATATATCTCCAACCAAGAGGTTGTGAGTTCGATCTTCTACCCGTATATGTTTACTAAAAAACAATAATAATAAGACACTTAAACCGTTTAATTATTTTAATAAAAGTACAKGAATCAAAAGCATTTTTTATAGCTAAAATAAAAGAGTTTTTCACAAGAAAGGTGATGAAGTCTAGGTAGGAATCGCCGTCCACGTGTAGGGTGGAGATTTACCAATTTGGACATCAAGATCAGTATAAGTAGAGAGCGAGCCCCTCCACCTAAAAACACAACAAAATCCAACAGCTTTGAAGGAATTTGATTCACAGTTTTGAAAAAAATTTCTTACTCTGAAACAAAAATGGCTTCTGGCTGCAAATGTGGTGACAATTGCTCCTGTGGAGACAGCTGCAACTGCCAATCTGGGTCTCTCTCTCTCTCTCTCTCTCTCAATTTTTACTTAATTTTCATTTTATGTTATATTCAAAATATTCAATGATTCGAAAATATTCAATGATTCGAAAACTCCGGTCGATGAAATAGGTTGGTTTTTCATGAATTCACCAAGATTGGACCGAACCGATCTTATTTATGTTTTCTCTCTGGTATTCTGTTCTTCAAAATTAAGCTTACAAGCCCTAATTTCACTCTTTCTTTGTTCTGTTAGCTATTTTCTACAAATGTTTCCAAAGAAAAGTACCTTTTTTAAAAACTTATTTCTTTTTAGGCCAAGAATTCAACCATATTTATAAGAAATGTGAAAAATATATCAAAAAATTGTGGGTAAGTAATCATAATTTCGAAGAATAGAAATCTAATTGTGGGTAAGAATATAATTTTTTGTAATAAAAATTTACATTTGAGTTACTAACTTGAATTCAATCTCTGGAAATGAGTAAATATACTTTGGTTAAAATTTTCGCAATTTCCAAACTAACCAACCAACGGTTGTTTGTATAAAACAAATTTGTAACTTGAACAATTAAATTTTGTTTCAAAAATACATCAACCGAATCCATAAAGACCTATGGTAGAGGGTCGTTTTAGTTTTGAAACATGAGATATGATAAGTTAATCTTACTGGTCATCCTTAACATATAACTCAATTAGTTAAGAGACCTATTGTTGATCAAAGGTTCAGACATTTGAATTCTCTGAATAGAATTAAAGAAAAAAAAAAGTGAAAATTACTCTTCTTTTTTTTATAGAGAAAAAAAAAGAATTATTTTCACTTCTTATCATTTATATTTTTTATTGAAACATTTTGTTTAATCTTTTCAGGACCATCACAGAGGCCTCCCTGAAGATGTAAGGAACAATTTTGTGACTTCTTGATATTGAAAAAAAAAATTGCAATAATAAAATAGTATATGTCAATACCTTATGCTTGGCGCTAAAGCCATTTTATATTTAATCATGYCAAATATTATCAATAAATTAAACCTAAATAAAACTCAACTKATTAGATATTAATAATTTACTTTATAGACTGCAAGGCCGTTGAAATCTTCACAYTTATGTTTATAATATTATATTTTGAAAAAACAAAAAATCATCAAGCGTAAAGATAATATAAAATTATATGTATATGTATATGTGTGTRTATATATATTGAGTATAGTATCGTGTTGAAATTGTGATCGAAGAAAATGAGATTATCAAACCTGCTTTTTAAAAATACAGAAATCAAAATAGACATTTTGATTTAATACGGTGCGGTTAACTGTGCAGGAGCGGGTGCAGCTGTGGGAGTAGCTGCTCCTGCGACCCATGCAACTGCAAATGAGCAAKGGGAGGGGTCGGAAAAAGCCCAAACAACAAAGCTTCTGGATAGAATAAATTGATGAATCAATCAACCTCTGTTGTTTTTTTTTTTCTCTTTTTTTCTTTCTTAAGATTGCCATTGAAACTGTAAGGCCATTTTGAATGGCTTTTTCATGTGGCTTCTTGAAATATAGTGTGAACTATGTACACTGCTTTGTTGTACTGGGTAGGGTTTGGTTTCATCAAAGCTTCAAGTGTGTTTGAATTTGTGGTTAATGAATGTTTGTTTTGTGTACTTTTCACTGATCTCTTTACACTATAAGAATTCAGACTTTTTTCAACACTTCAAAACGTCGGGAAAAGACCTTAAAATATCAAGAGTAATTTTATGCAACRAAATACTTTTGTTTGGGAGAAGTCCGTCGGGACAGCGATGTTAGGTTAATGGAACCAAAACAGGAGGAAAAAACTACATAACACCCAGGCTAGGTGMTAGGGTCGAAACCGCAGTGCTACGAACCCAGAAGACACTAATATTATGGAAGTAGTACTCCTTCTGGATCGATTGATCTATATCTTTTTCTTCCAAGTATCTTTAYAATAGTATGATATTGTCCGATTTGGACATAACCTTGACGGCTTACTTTTGGTTTCACCCAAAAGACCTCGTACCAAACCAAACCCAACAATCCTCCCTCCAAACAAAGTGTCACGGATTGCTCGTCACCTGAGCATATAGCCACTTGTCAAGGACAACATAGCTTTATTTTTGGTCTCGCCACCAAAAGGTCTCATACCAATAGAGATAATTGTCTTCATTTATATACATAAGTCACTCTCTTCCCTAACCAATATGAGACTTTATTTGCTTACTTTACAAACCTAACTAATGGGACAAATTAGAAAGCGTTTAGTTTACAAATCGAATTGGTGTATAGTTTGAAATGGTAAGGTCAACTCTAMTTTTATATGTAGGTTAAACTCAAATTTTTTTAAATTTGTCTTGCTATCTACACAATTAAACGTATAAATCAAAATGCTATGTAAATTCAAATTCTTGTAACTTATTATTCTACACAACTCAAATTCAAGCTCTTGGACTTCAAACTTTGCTCGTTCAAAATGCTTATGTCGCAAGTGTGTCGTATAGTGCATAAAGTGATGATGAGAATATCTAACTAGAAATGTACTTCTCTAAGATATCATTAGGGTTTAAAATTCTTTCAAATATATAGTAATTATTGGTTAGCCTTAACTTCATTTATATATAAACAATTAATAATAAGGGAAAGATTCAATTTATACCTCTCAGAGGTTGAATGGATTAAAATTCTAAACTAATAATTGTATTAAACCTTAAGCTTTCGTAAATGAATCAATTTACACTCTCCGTGTAGGGTTCATTTGAAAACCATTAATACATATAGACTTTTTAAACATGCAATATTAACAAAATATTATTTGGATGGGCGGTTTATAAGTATCTCTATAATTGTATGATATCGTCGGTTTTGGACATGATCCTCATGGCTTTATTTTTTTGTTTCACCCAAAAATGTTTGTTATACTTAACTCACACAAATCTAATAMACACACCTCTGGACAGACTAAAAAAACCAGCAGCCCAACCAAAATACAGTGAACAACTATGAACATATACCAAAAAAATGTAAAAAGAGAGATAAGAAAAGAGATGGACAAACAGATTTATAGTGGTTCAATCCAATTTGAGATCTACATCCACTTTCTTCAGACCATCCACTAATTTCAGTAATCAAAAGAGTACAACAACATCAAAGGGAACAAAACAGTTCTCAAGAACTCCAAAATACACCACTCCTTTTTAATCTCCTCTAGAGGTACAAAGCTGCTCACAAAGAAACCTTACGAAAAATACCCAGACCTCACCCTCTCTCAAAGATAAAAAAGAAAACTGCCCACAAGAGGAAGAAGAACTTCTTTTTCCCTTTTTACAACCGCACACACTGCACTCCTTTTTTTTCTCCCTRCTAACCAACTTGTGCACAAAGAAAAAGAAACAAACAAAATGGGTAAAGACCCATTTGGAGAGAAACTGGAATGAAATGCTGAGTGGGAGTAATGAGTTGAAAGTCAACATTCTAACTTGGCAATTTCTTGATTTCCTGGTGGTTAAGTTGGTAAAGAACCCTTAGCTGTCAAAATAAATCTACACTATCTCATACTAATGGAGATAATTGTCTTCATCTATATACTATATGATCACTCTCTTCTTTAACTAACATGGAACTTTTACAACCCAACAACAACCATACCTATAAGTTTGAAAGGTACACTTTTTTGGTCATCCCTGAACAGCAACTATTTATGGAAATCAAGAGCAAAAAGCTACTAAAGTGACTAGCTAAGATGAGTATATCTTTTCTCGATGGACTTTTCCGACTTTTTTCCCCACGCAAATATTTCGTCGAAAAAAGTTGCTCCTTTTTATCCGAAAAAATCTTATTTCCTTGCAGTGAAGGATAAGTAGTTTTGTATTTTTCATGATCATCCTGACATACCTSATATGAAAACCCTAGCGAATTGGAATTAGGAACTCTTTGGGTATATGAACTCCTAATTCACAAACACTAAAACTCCCAAAATCAATTTAGTACAATCACAAGGAAGATTAGATGAGGGTTACCTTGTTGATCGAAGACCACGAGGCAAGGAGAACTAGTTTCCTACTCGATGTTGAACACTCCACAAGAGAGGTTGATCAATCCCTTCTTGAATGTTCCGGGTTGCAACTTAGATCAAGGATTGCAAAATTCAAGAGCTCTTGGCTGGCTTGAAAGAAACGGCTCAAAGGCTCAAATTTCCATTAAAACTGAACTGTCCCGTACAACGTAAATGATAAACTTATATATGGCTTACCCATAAAAATAACCTAGGTGACATCAAATACTAAAGTCCTAATTTATTTTGGTAAAAATAAATAAATAAAATAACTAACTAAAAATAATTAAATAAGTATTAAGGCCAATACTTGGCCCAAAATAAAGAATCTAGGGCCCAATTGGCTAAGCCTCTAACTAAAATTAAAATAAACGAAATTAACATCATCATCAAGTTTGTATCTTCAATGGAGTTTAATGGTACGCTCGCTGGTTCATATCAATGCCACTAAAGATTGTTTTAACTGAAAAATGAGGAGATTGACACTGTTGGTTATTTGGAAGAGCTTATGAAGAAATGAGGCAACTTTGAAGGTCAAGTTACGAGCAAAGTCAGAAGGGTCCCTATAAAGGAAAATCAAGACCATATCTTTAAAGGACCAACAGAAATAGAGAAATTGGAGATGTTGTTAGTTGCATTAGATATGTATACGAGTTGTTTTATGATTTAATGTCTGATGTACAAAACATTGTTGTTTACTTTGATCCGATCCTAGTTGTTCTTGCAAAGTTTCGATAATTACGATAGATCTTCGAGAACACTCAAAGATAAATCCTAAAAAAAGATTTAGCATTCCGAAGATTTTATCAATTCTAATAAATGGAGAAAATATGATCAAATGTCTAAGAACAATATTGTCTACCTGTCTCCCTCCACGTCTGGGAATATTTATAGAGACACAGATAACTGTTGGGCAGAGTAGATTCAAAATTTAAATGAGCTGTTTTTCTTCCTGGGATTTAGGTAATTGTGTGTAGCGAGGGAAATCGGTTGAGTCATGAGGATACATCCCAACAAATTTAAACCGCTCTGATGACTGGGTTTCCAATTCGGTATATGTTGAATTGGTGTCATCATATGTCGAATTGGTGCCACCTTTTTATATTCCCCTCACACGTGCTTTCCGCTAGAGACTTGATGACCTTGGTCGAATAAATAAATAATGAAAATTTAACTCTTCAAACACTAGTAAAGTTTTATAGTTGTATAAAAACTTAGTGCATGTATACTACTTCTAGAAATTGGATCAGACAACAAGGCACAACAAAAGCTTGTGAACAAATCAGATTAGACACATCATACAATGACAACTTTTACTTTGGATTAAAAACACCTTTCAAAAAAGAAAATGATCATAATCCTTTCCTTTGGGATGGCAAAAGGGCAAAATGTACATTCTCCTGAYGTGATCCGTAGTTTACAAGCTGCGACGATTATATCTTAATCTATTGGTATGAAATTTTCTAGATGAAATTAAAAGCAGATAAAGATTATGATCAGATGAACAATATCACTGAMTACCATTTATCCATTCAAATCATAAAAATTGTGAACCCTTTTTTTTTAAATTACATCCCAAGTGAGAAGGTGATAGATTAAGTTTAGAAACTACTGGACATCGTTGAATTAGATTTTAAAAATAGAATTAGAATATTGGTTGATTTCCATAATAGAAAAATTGAAATCATTTTTTAATAATTTCAAATTTAATAAGGAGAGGATAAGCCATTGCCATCCTATGACGTTAGAGTGCCAGCTAGAGGAGGATTATACAATTAAGCAAAGAGCTTCATAAGCGAGATTACGAAGTCTAGGTTAGGTAGGAGCCGTCCACGTGTACGGTGGACATTCACCAATTTGCACCATATTTAGAGGCCCTAAGACAGAGCAAAAATCCCACACAGCTTTTCAAAAAAGAAATTGATCGAGAGTTTGAGAAATATTTTGATGGCTTCTGGCTGCAAGTGTGGTGACAATTGCTCTTGTGGAGATAGCTGCAATTGCCTTTCTGGGTCTCTCTCTCCTCCTCTTCTTCTTTTTCCCTCTCTTTGTTTTCGATTTAGATTTCTCAATGAGGTTATAAATATCAATATCGATGGAAATGTCAAAGTGTCTGGGTCTCTCTCCCCTCTTCTTTTTTTTTTTTTCTCTCTATTTGTTTTCGATTTAGATTCCTGACTATAGAAATGTCAAAGTCTTAGATGTGTAGAAATGTTGACGGAAATATCAATAAATGTTGATGTCGATGAATATTTCAAGGTTAATTACCAATAATCATATTACTCTTTTTTTTAAATAAGTTAAAATTTATTAATATCAGTACTATGTTCAGATTAATGATATTTTGCTATAGTATATGGATGAAAATTTAATATCACGTTTGTGACTGAAATATTTTTTCTCTTTGGTTTTTTTTTTTTTTTTAAATCTTTGCAGGACCATCAAAGAGGCCTCCTCCCTGATAAACATGTATGCTGATTTTAACAAGTTCCTTATTTTCTTTCTTTTTTTTTTCTTTTTTTGAAAAGTCTACAATCAATACTACTGTCGCTTATATTCAGCCATATCGTCAATAATGCAAAATTACACCATATCTGCTTAATAAACTAAACTCAAGGTCATAGATTTTGAACTTTAAAACGTGTTTCCTAACTCTATCGTCTTTCTAAAAGTAATTAGAGACGTATTAAATACAAAATAGGAAGTCTAAAAACTCGGGAGACTTTTTAAATTCAACAACCTACCAAACTAACAATTTGACCATAGTATAATAATTTAAATAGTCATGTGATGTGATAAAATATGAATGAGSTTAATAAATACTACCGTGAGTACAAGGGTTTGACATGTCGTCCTTGATGGAAATGTCAAAGTCTCAATTTTATATAGATGGGAATGGAAATATTGATAAAATGTCAACAATGTCGATAAATAATTCTAAAAAAATTATAAAAAAAAATCTTAAAAAATATTTAAGGGCCCATTTGATAACTTCGTTTTTGGCTTTTTMTTGTTTTTAGATTTTGGTTTTCTGTTTCRCGAGAGTTTTCGYCGCTTTGAAACAATAAGTTTCAAAATCTCGCAAAAATTCAGCGTGGTTTTTCTCTAAAAACTCGGAAGGTTCCGCTTTTTGAAAAACAAAAAAAAAAACRTGTTTGGTAACCATTTTTAGTTTTTTGTTTTTAAAAAGTTAGCTAGAAAATTGAAAATACATATTAGAGAGATAAAATTTTATATAGGGTAGAGATGACAATAGTGTGGTGCGAGTGAGGATTCTCTCCCCTATTCTCGTGTTCGTGAAAATTTTAGTCTCCGTCTCCACCTCGTCATTGAGAAAAATTATCGGTTTTATAATTTAAGTATAAAAAATGTGTAATAAATATATTTTAATTATTTAAAAAGGGAATCAGGGATGGGGACGGGGTCGGGACATGCATTTCCTATTTTTGAGACCCAACTCTGCAAAAAAAAAATTTTGTAGAGACATGAAAATACAAGTTTAGAAAGACGTACGTAAATAAACTTTTCGAAGCTAAATTTTAGAGAGAGAATTAAAAATATTTAGAAAAAAATAGTAAAAGAAAAGTTAAAGAAAAAAGAGAAAACTTTTAGAGAAAAAATTAAGTCGAGAGGAAAAGATATGTTAAAAGAAAAAAAAGAAATAGAAAAATTACTGTGGAAATAAACTCACTGAAAGATTCGAATTTGAGACTTCTGAATCAGTATAATCAAGAGACAATAAACCCTTGCCAACCGAACTGCTCTTAGAGTTCAATAAGTTAAAATTTATTAATATTTTCTTTTTGGAAGTATTAATATCGATTCACGATGTCAAACCCACGACAAAGAAAATATGGATGTCGATTAAAAGTTATTTTGGTTTGGAATTGTGTGCAGGAATAATGGCTGCGACTGCTGCGACAGCAGCTGCTCGTGCGATGCGTGCAGCTGCTGCTAGAGACCAAGACCCCAAACAACAAAGCTGGTAAAATCTTGTGAAATGGAATAAAATTATGAAGCAACTTGCAAAATCTATTTTTCCTTTTTTTTTCTCTTTTTGTTTGAATATGTAATGGCTACTTGGCTTGAAATCTAGTGTGAACTATGAACTGCTTTGTTGTGGGAAGTTTGTGTTTAATGAATCTTTGGTTTGTGTAATCTTTCTTCATCCTTTCAGCTCTCTCCCCTCTCCCAAATCTCTCTACAAATATATATTTGCCTTTCTCATAATTGATCCGTTTGAATAACAGAGTTATGAAGTCGAGCCTACATTTAATTAGCGRATTTTCGACAAATGAGGATTCTTGTCACGATTTTTTTTTCTAAGAAACTTCAATATATAGGTAATACAAATCTGTAGGTTCCAACTTCGAATTACACGAACACTCAAACTTTATTAAAGCTATTCAAGATCAACGTATCACCTATTATTTACTCGTAACTAACATTACCATCAAATATTCTTGCAAATGAATCTCATATTCAGATCTTTATTTGGAAATTAATTAGAAAATTATTTTCATAATTATTATGATTGGATGAACAATATAATTACCTCCTCTTGAACTCATGTTGAAATTTTCTAGTATTAAACTATTAKACACTCCTCCCCTTTACAATTTGGCATATTAGTAATTAATATATTATTTTATTCTATAGATTATATATTATTAAATGCTGCTGATAGAGCAAATAATTAGTAACATTGGAAAGGCAATCAACTCAATTTGCAAAATCAATACTTGGAAAGAGTTTGAATTAAATTATTCTATATGTAGGGTGTAGTGTAAGTTGTATATTCTTTATTGGAAATTCTTAGATGGGAGTGGGTTAACACTAACGTTTTAAGTGTCCATGAAAATGTCGAAATCTCAATTTTATAGAAATATCAATAAAATATTTTTGTAAAAGTTAGAGAAATTAAAAAATCATAAAAAAAAATAAATTAACAAATAAACATTTTTCTATATACCGACATGACAAMAATTTCCATTATTATGATCCATCACCAAGCAGTACCCACCGGTGTAATTTTAAAAGGTCAACCAACTTGAATTATTATGTTGTTAAAAATACCGAAAATAAAGCTACCCAATCCAACAATTTTGTTCTTCAAAACATGAAACTATAGCAGCAATTACAGCCTCAACAAAACATATGGCTCTGATTAATGAAACAAGATACTTCTATTACTCTCTTACTCTTTTCTCTTTTCCTTCATAATTAGTTTAGGCTGCAACTCTATGAGAGACTAATCATGTGAAGCTGGTTATTCTGCAAAATATAGTTTGTATAGACTGCTGCACTAACATTTTAATGTTATTTCTTACAGAAAAGACATGTTTTAAACTTCCCGGATACCTCGGTTCAAGTAAGATAGTTTAGGAACTCCGCAGCGGTTGCAACAGCCCCTCCTGTAATCGCATCGATGGCGATTTTGTCTCGGTTGTTGCTGCTCGCTGCTGATACCAGAGCCCCCGTCAAAGCACCTCCAATCATAGCATTTTTCTGGAACATGTTTAAACATTTGTGTCCACAATTAAATTTCTCAACTTCAAAAATTGACAAATGAATCAATTGGTAATATTATGCTCAAACAAATAGGAAGCAACTGTAGATTTTTTTTTATAATTTGGTGACTTCATACTTCGTCGAGAACTCGTTGTTTGAAATATTACAGATAACTAAGCCTGAGTTAGAAAACCAGTAGAGTACTACCATTGTTTCTCTGTTACATGGTTGTAAGTAATGATATAATCACTTTCATAAGAGCCAAGAGGACAATTGTAAGAAATATTGACAATTTACCTAGGATCTTAATAGATTTTGTTTCTGGCTTGTTTGAAATCAAATAGAAACAAACAGGAGTTCTTTTCCATTCTAGGATTAATACATTCAACAATACAGAAAACACATTGTGAAAATATTCCCGAGCAAACTCGAGAGAAATTTTCTAGTGCTCCTAGTAGTACCTATTCCCTCCGTTCACACTAAATTTTCCTTCTTAAATAATTTTTAACGTTGTTAGAGTGGAGTACCTCTATTCATTTTAAAATAATTATGACGTGAATGACAATGAACTGGAGTACAGTAGGATTAGAAATTTTTCCCAAACTTGAAAAGCTGGAAGTGATAATCTAAAAGAATAACTCAAACTTGATTTACATAGTAACTTTGAATTTATGGCAAACATACCCAATCTCTTGTGCCACGGATCCTTTCTACCCCATACTCCATACCAACATAAACTCCAGCTACGGTTCCTGTGTTCGGATGAGAAAATAGTTCCTTATTCATGCAAATGAACCAAAAGTGAAAGTGAAAGGTCTGTTTGATTTGAAAACTATGCTTATTAATTAACTTTTTGTTTCTGCGCCTTCAAACTGACTACCAAAATTGTTTCTGAAATTATAGACAAATTAAAAAATCTTAAAGAAGAAGTTCAAAAACATGTTTTTTGTTTTTGAAATATAGTGTTCTTTAAAAGTGGAAATTAAAAAAAGAAAAACATAGGCTTATAGATATGTATGGTCTTTATAAGCTTAACATACAAAAACAATAACCTAAAAATAAAATCACTATCAAATGGTACTAGCAGAAGGTTTACAGATTCTGAAACTCATCCACTAAGTAAACTACTTCCCCGAGTTATGGAATAATGTGATCCATACTTACCCCAGTATGCACCTTCTTTACACATTTTCTTCAACTGCAACAGAAGTTGAAATTAATGAACTGAAGAAAAAAGCTGAGTGAGAGAGACAACAATTTCAAGGTTCTTTATTTTTCTTTTCTGGCTCAGTACAGATCAGAAGACCAAACTTTACCTTAGCCTGCTAATTCAACCTCTTGGGTCTAAAATTAATTTCAAAAACAGGACACCTTAAGCTCAAACCCCTATTAGTTCGCTCAAACTTTCAGGGCCTGGTGGTGTGTGATTTCACATTATTTTTTCCAAAACAGCATATAATCATTTACCCAACGAGAGTTTCAAATCTCAGTTCAAATATAAAACCAGAGTTGCCAACAGAAACTACCACAAGTAATTTGTGATCTCTACATCAGAAATCTGTTTCACTAATTATGCACTTGCGAAAATTTCAGCAAACAGAGCGACTTCAAAACTGGATAGATGAAGCAAGCAAGAGATACTAACCGTGTGCTCGAAATTGTGACTGGAAATCGTTCCTGCAGAATCCAAACAATGGCTTCAATTAAATTCGGCAGCAAAAGCAAAGACGAGGGAATAGGGAATAGGGATACAACCTTTTCTAAGAACATGATAGGCATCCTCGGCGGCGGCACGCGTAGCAGCGACCTAAAAGAGAAATGATTTGAATTCGAACAAGAGGAAGTGAATAAGGGAGAAAAATGGAGGAAGTGAATAAGTCAATACGGATCCGATCTTGAAGAAGGCGTCGACGGTGAGGTTGAGGAAGGGGTTGCCCATGTCGATGACGACGTCGAGCTTGGGCATCGGTGGAGGATGGCGCTGGCCCTGTTTTTGCCGCTACCGATAGTTTTACTTGAAATTAATTTGGAGTCTACTGATTTCCCACGCACTACGCACCGTTGATTTTGTTGGGTGGCCCGGGGGAACGTTTGCCGTTGGATTTAAACCATCACGGAAAGTGGCAGGGATTTACACTTGTTCGATTCAGGAATATTCAAAAAACTCGATSCTTSRRCTCGTTTGATAATCATTTCTGATTTTGATTTTTTATTTTTTATTTCTAGGAAACAAAAATTTTGATAATTAGTTATCAAACTAAAAATAAAAAACAGAAAACAAAATCGTTATCAAACTARCCCTTAACAAAATCGATCAACTCAACGCAATCCAAATAAATGAAAATTTTATAGTTAGGTTGGTTCAAGGATTTATCTAAAACAATTTTAGATGTGGATTTATTATTAATCTTAGAACTATTTTTTTTTTACTTGTCATAAAAATTATATATAGTTAAATTTATTTTAATTTTAGGATAAATGACAAAAACCGCCCCGAAGTATGGTAATTGTTACAATTCAACCCTTAAACTTTSAATTGTAATCTCTAAACCCTGAAACTTTCATAAATTAAAAAAATTAGACCCCTAAATTTTCAATAGTAAAAATTAAAACCTTGAACTCCCACCAGAGATAAAATTAAACCCTAAAATTATTAAAAAAAATAATAATAAAAATGTGAAAGAAAAATCTAAGTCGAAATTTCGGACACRGCAATGATCACGAACGAAATGTATGAGCACCAGTAACAATCTTCTTAGGGAGTCAGAGAGTYCAAGATTAGAAAATTCAGTTCCAAACGCCCTAAAAAAGAGGTCAGAATCCAAAATCAGTTAGAAAACTAAAAAAATTTGATTTTATAATAAGTAACTAAATTGATAAAATAAAGGATGAAATAGAAAAGATAAAAGAATTTTAGTCCCAAAAAATGGATCAATGGATTGATCGAAGGTGCCCAAGAGCTTGAATCTAATCGAAAAACTGAATTCCAAGTGTAAAACTCTTATCCCAGTTAAACAAACCGGACAAAGATCGAAAATTTCCCACATTGAATTTTCCAAAAATGATAACCAAAATCGTGTGAGGTGTTGAAATAAGAAAGGGAAGCCAGCGATGAAAAGGGAGTTATGGGAGAGGAGAATGAGGTTTTCTTCCAGCCGGATTTGGAGATGAAGGCAAAGAAAGTTCCTAGGCTTGGTGGTGGCAGTGGTTGAGCATTCTGTGAGATGTGGAGAACAGATGTGAATAAGAGACATCCTTTTTTTTCTTCTTCAAATTGTAGGGTTTAATTTCTACATTTGAAAGTTTAAGGGTTCAATTGTAACAACCATCATACTTTAGGTGTGGTTTTTGCAATTTACTCTTAATTTTATTTCATTCAATAATTTGAATGGTTTATTCTAGGCTTTTAAAAAACAACTTTTTTGAGCCTTTGGAGTGTACTTTTCACCATATAAATTAAACTATCAACTTACTGATTTTGATTCAATGTTACGAAATATATAAATAAATGTTTGAGATATTATCGTTTACTCTTTTTTTATGCAATTCTTTAAATAAGTGACCCGAATAACCCGAACCAACCCAACTCTAATATTTCATGGTTGTGTTGGGTTGTTTATTATTTAATAAAGGTTGTTTGGGATGAATAAATTACAACTCGAACAATTGGATTTGGTCTAAAAAGTATCCCAAGTCTACCCAATCCGTAAACACTCCTAGTTCAAGTGGTAAATTTATTAAAAAGCAATTCTTATTAAATAATAAATCCATGGGTTAGATTGGTTCAGATTATTCTAGTCACTTATTTAAAATATTGTATAACTAAGAAAAGTAAATTATAATATTTTAAACATTTATTTATATATTGTCTAACATTGAATCAAGATCTGTAAGTCGATTTTTATATGGTTAAAATGTACACTCCTCCAAAAACTTAAAAAGTTGGTTTTAAAAGTTGATGGAAAATAAATAATTCATATTATTGAATTAAATAACTATATAGATCAAAGGGAGCATTGCTCAATCTTAATTGGTATATATTTCCAACTAAAAGGTCGTGAGTTCGATCTCCCACCTGTACTCGAAAAAATAAAAATAAAAATAACTATACCCTCTCCAAAACACCCAAAGCCCAGAATTCATCCCACCACAAATCCCAAATTCTAAACTTCAATTTCTTAATCCCACTTCAAGTCGCAAACCTATAACCCATTTTAAATCTCATATGGACTCCAAAGTTTGAATCCCATGGCTTCAATTTTTTTTGTTATTGAAGTCTATTGTCAACAAAAATTGGACAAAACAAAGAAAAAATTGCTTATTCCGTTTAAATCTCTGGTATGCTCATTAGTTGAAAGGGTGGGGAAGATATTTGGAAGCCCTAAACCGTCCCATAAACGAATTTGATCTTGAACCTACCCACAATTGACAGCCACGTCATAAATTTTTTTTTAAGTTTAACCTAATATTTAACAACAGGGACTAAATTGTTAATCTGTAAAATTTAAGGACTAAATCGTTACTTTAGTCAAAGTACAGAGATCAAATGTATTTTTTAACCTAAAATTAATAATAAGACGGGTTGGTCTGGTTCAACCAGATTTATTTTAGGTGAACTTTTTAAACTAATCAAACCCAAAAATTTTCATTTATTTAAACCCAACACAAATTGTATGGATTAGATTGGGTTGAGTTATTAGTTTTTTTGTGTCATTAAATTTTTTTAACACTTCTATTCTCGCACCTTCATTTTCAGCCCTTGAATTTTTTTTAATAAAAAATATTAATGTTTTGAAAGTTAATTTGCAATTTTCAAGATGTGTTAAATGTAATTGGTATTTTTTCAACAAGTATTTTTAGTTATCTTATTATCATTATCATTATTATTATTATTATTATTATTATTATTATTTGGACTAATTGAGGTATTCTAATTTACTTTTTGGGATGTGAATGATTTGAGAAATTTGGTAAATAGCTATTACCATTTAAGTTATTGTATTTGGGGTATATAGTTTGGCTTGCTATGCCCGTTTTGGGGCACGCAAACTTTTTGAAACGGTTGGGTGTTCTTTTTGGGAAAAAAGAAAAATAGAAAAAACGAGTGCTTTTGAAATTATTTAGCAAAATAGGATAATGATTCTCTTTCTATCTTTTCACTTACTTTTTTTTTTTTAATTTAGGTAGGTTGTTAAATATTGAAACCCAATTCAAAAAATGTCTATTTGTTTTTAATTTTGTAAAAATGGTTAAAACACATTTTAGAAATTTTACAAAATAGGATGGTTTTCCAACACTATGTTCTCCATGCTTTTTAGGTTTTTTTTTATATTCAATCACGCAACAAATTTTGTTTTGAATTCAAAATGGTTTTCTTACCTTCAAGGAATTTCAAGTTAATTATTTTGTTTTGAATCTCCTCAACTCATGGTTCTACGGTATCTTCTTCTAAGTTATCTCTTCTCTTTGCAACAATGGATTGTGTAATAATCATAATTCTAAAAAATGTATATATCAATTAAAAAAAATCAAAATTAGAATTCAACACACGTATATAATATCATGCAACTCAATTATAAAAAATGTTAATACATGTATACACCAATTCAAGAATTAACAAACACGAAAGTCAATACATGTATATACTAATTCATGAATTAACATAATACAAAAGTCCATACATGTATATACCACAATACTATTCAAATATAATAAGTAGAATGTCAATACATATGTACACCAATAATTACCGCACTAACAATATATTCTTCCTCTACATCCCTAAAACATAGGAGTACAATTAGATCAGCAAATCTAATTTGTAAATATACTATTCAACATGGAGATCCATTGGGTTCTTACCTTCTTATCTGTAATACCAACAACTTTTAATCTTTCACTAGATAGTTAACATATTCATCCTCTAACTTATCTTAAATCCCTCAAATATTTTTTTTGATACAACATGTGGGGGTGGGGGTTCGAATTCATGATCCCTTGGTCAGGTCAGAGATAGGTGTCATGACCACTTGAGGTAGCTCGATTTGGCCTAAATCCCTCAAATTATGCATATGTACCTCATTAGTTACAATGGTATATTTGCCTAAAAATTAATTCAGTATTAAAAAAAATCATTTAGTCATTATTACAATGTCTGATATGTTTGACCATTTTTTAAAACGCGTTTTTTATTTTAGCCGACAATTGACTTTTTTTTTCCAAAATTTGCTTAGACGCGTGTCTTAAAGTGACCATTCAAATCCACCTGTTGTTTTTATTATTTCTTTTTTCAATCTAAACTTTCCAGATTCAAGTTACTGATTTCTTTTTCTTTTTTAATTTGAACTTAAATAAGTCAAAAAATCTAACGAAATGAATTTTTTTAATTTAAACTTAAATCCACTATTTTTAATCGGGTCTTTTTTTATTATTATTATTTTTAGTAAACATGTAGGGATGAGGTCGAACTTACAACCTCTTGATTTGAGATATATGTCAATTACCGCTAAACTATGTTCGTTTTGACCTTTTATCATAATAGCTCACCTCCACCTCAAATTTGAGTTATCCGATAGCTCATCCCGACCAAAATGATGAGCTTCCATCAGAATGGCTCATCCAGCATCAATAAGGAGCTCCCATCAGATACCTCGCCTCAACCACAATAATGAGCTATCAAGTAGCTTACCTCGACCTTAATGATGAACACTCCATCAGATAGCTAGCTCATCACGATGGTCAATGGATGATCTCCCACCAAATAGCTCACCTCAACCTCAAGGAATGAGCTATCAGACAGCTCATCTCAACCAAAATGATGAACTTCCATCAGATAGATCATCTCGGCACTAAGGATGAGCTCTCATCAAACAACTCACCTAAACTAAAAGGATGAGCCACCATCAAATATCTCATATGACTTAAATGATGAGTCTCCGTGAGGTAGCACATGCAAGCTAAAATAAGAATTTTAAGGAGAGACTTACAAAAATCTTCAAGGAGTGACTCATCAAGATCACCTCTTTGAAGACCAAGGCCACCTATAGTCTAGACTA